CAGATGATGAATGCTAGATAAACACGAGTTTAAAACGGCCCGGGTTCTTACTTCCCATTGCACCCCAAGTATCTCTTTTAAACAAAGAATTCCCTAGAATTTCAAAGAGTTGCAACTCAGGCAAAAAAAAAAAATCATTAAACAGTGGAGGGGGAGAGATGCAAATTTTCTCATGCATTGAGATGTATCAGATGTATCTCCTTTACTTAGAAGACAGAGAGGTAAAGTGTGGAACACTCATAGCATTCATAAAAACAATCGGTGTATACAGTCATCATGAGGCACATCAAATCATCATCCCATAGAATGGTAACTCTTACGTTCCTAAATCGTTTTTGTTCCCAGTTCTCTTTTCAATGTGTAACAGTGGGAATATGGCAAACAGAATCCTTGGGCAAATTAGAAACAGAAGCTGGTGAAAACATTAGGAACCCCTTTTGGTTCTTAGTGCATTTTACATTGTGGTGTCTATTCAGAAGGTAAAGAACATTAATATAAGTGTGTTTTAGAAGCAGTAGGAGACCTGTCAGCCAAGAGAGCACCACCCTGGAGTTCTGTCTCTATGGCTTATGTACTTATTTGTTTACATTTGAAACCTGATAATTTTTTTTTTTATTTTGTAGTTTTCTTTAAAGGAATGAGAACAGCCAGGTTGGGACTCCTGAAGGTGGCATTCATTCTGAATCACTAAAATCCAGTGATGGTTACCAAAAAAGACAGTGGGCTGCAGGAGCTTTTGAATTTGTTGGCTTTGAAAGTTTCATGACTGGAAAAAAAAGGAAGGCTGAAGGGAACTGGCATTTTAATTCCATGTGGCTGAGCTTTTTAGTTACATTCAGACACGTCTATTTTTATTTCTTGAAGCTGGGCCCATGTCCAAGTCGGAAGCTGCAGAGTTATTGCTCTCGCCCTCACATTTAGTACAATCTCCTATAATACTAAGGTTAGGTCAGCTCTTTCCCTGTCCTTGCGTTAAACCTACAAACAGATCAGATTGCATGATAAGCACCTGTAAGAAAAGGACAGAAGATGGAAACTGAACCGTGGACCCTGCTCAAGTTGAATTGGAATCAAATCTCCTGCATCATCTCATATTTGCCTAGTGCATTGGCCGGAGATCCTGGTTGGCTTCACCTCAGTATTGAAGTTATTCTTTCTTCTCTTCTTTTACTTTCTCCTGTTGGGCTCTGATACATTTAAAATGATAGCTCCTCTTGTTTTGTGCAATGGAAAAACTGTTGTGGAAAACTTAACCTTGAAAGGCACTGACTGTATCTAAAAGCAGAAAAAAAAAAAAAAGGTCTCCCTTATTGGGCCTCCCATTGGTTGTTTGGAAACAGCTGTTTGATGCCAAGTTTGTACTTCACTCTTATCAGCCCATTTGGTGAGATCAGAATGTGCCTGAATAACGCTGAAGGTTAAAATATGTTGATGGAGATTTCTGCTACTGCCATTCCAGAAAGCCACCTAATGCCTTCCCTGACAGTCAGCAGGGACCAGGCTCTGTCTGTCTCATGATTGTGACACATAGTGGAAATTTACTGGCTTCTATATATCACCATCGCTGCATGGTGTATGTCACACTCAGGATAAGCCCAGCAGGACAGCCTGCCAATGGCCTGGCAGATCTGGTCGACCAACATATGGAACAGTCCCTCTGAAAACAAAAACACACTGAACACACTCATGATCTGGGAACCATGTTTTACAGTTTGAGTTTTTTCCTCATCCATAGATGTTATATTTGTGGCATTTATAAACTTTTATTTTTAAGAAACTGGAGAATTATAATTTTCATAATTTCATAATCATTTTTAACATTCCAAAATTCATGCTTCATTGGTATTAAATACTACTTGACTTGTATGGATTTTTTTTCAGTTCTTACTATAATGCAACCTCCAAATCCTTATAACAATACTTTCATTTTTATACATATCGACACATTCAGGCTTCTTACAGTATTGAAATATACTACATTATTATGGCTACTTAGCAATGAGAAAATGTACATTGTCCAATAAAACATTTGAATGTTTCAAAGTCCTGCTCTGTAATCTGAATGTCATAATACGGTCTTAGTCTGCAAATGTCTTTTAGAAAAAAGATGCCAAGGATTAATCTTGCCATTTGTGGTGTGCTTTCATTTATTTCCAAACAATGTGCAGTGTTTTGTCAGTTATTTATCTAGCTATTTGTATGTTTATCTGGTGCCTGTCACTGGGATACTCCAAGGCTTTGACAAGTGTGCTGTTAGCAGAAAATACTGCCCAAGAGAGAAGGGATACTCTTTTTCACTGGACTACTTCAATGCTGCAGCCATAGTAGTTACTATGTGATTTATTGAACAACCATTAAAAGGAAAGAGGTAAAAATAGATCAGCCAGTCACTCAAGTCACGGACACTGGATGTCAACTCTTGGTGAATTTCTGTCCCAGGCAGCATGGGAGTTGAAAAAGCAAATATTATCATTTCCAAAAAGGCAAAATAGCAAACTTAGCATGAACAGTTTTTAAAAATGCCTTGTAGATGATTTTTATTCTTTAGTATCTCATGTCCTCTTTCAAATGCAGTACTTCCCCTGATCTTAGATGAATGTCCTTTGGTCAAAACACCAATGAGTTATGTAGAAAGTGATAATTGAACAACTATACATTATCAGATAAAGATAGTTTGACACATAGTAATTCTGAATACTAATTATCACACCTGACGGTTGTGTAATCAATCACTTATGTGAATGGTCCGTCTCAGATTCTCCTAGCTGTCATGTTTTTATATCTTATTTTCATTGCACTAATGATAAGAAAAAGTTGTTAAATTAGTAATCTATGATCAAGATACCCAATAATGATGTGTCAGCCAAAGATGTCTCAATTTCTCATAATGATATGGTGCCTGCCTTTCACTGTATTTTAATTTTATAATGTTTTTGACTGAAAAATAACATTTTAACATTTTTTTCAATGTACAAGGAATGCCAATATTTCTTTTTCCTTATAGCAGTTATTTGAAAAAGCTAATAGTAACCTGTCAGCTCTCCATGAAGGTCACCAGGACAATATACAGGAATGTTGAAGTAGTTACTTGAATCCCTATGGGAAGACTGTCTCCTCCCAGGAGAAGCTGGGAGAAACTTGGTCAGGTATAGTTGAATTGCCCTGTCTCTCTCATTCTTCCTGAGTTTAGATTCCTCATTACAGATTCTTTTTTTTCCCTACTACTTTCCATAACTTCTACTAGATTTAAGTGTGAAGGGATTTTCACATCTATAAACCTTCAAGGCTCATCAGGATATTTAGATATCTATTTTAGTAGACCCTCTTTTATAGTGCTTATGAATTCTTCCTGAAACTTAACAAATTATGAGGCAAGTGTGTTATAGGATCACAAGGTAGGGTAGCTATTTTAAAAAACAACAACAACAGAGAGTTCAACTCTGTTTGTATATGTGTGTTCGTTTGGTCCTATGCAGAAAAGTACAATGTAGTTGAGAATTGATTGTGAAGATAAAACCAAGTCTTCCTGTGCAAACTCCCACACATCTAGAAATAATCATCTTTGACTTTGTAGGGAATATCTGAAAATAGGTTCTTTTATATTCCAGTTTTTCCCTTGAGCATAACATGGAAGTGAAATTTTAAGAGTATAATTATTTTGCAGTGCTAAGAATTACTGTATCTATATAACATTTCCACTCTGTGCTCTTCAGTAAGTCAATTCAAATTTCAGATTATAATGCCCTTTTCTGCAAAAACTAGTGGTGAGACCTGGTTTCTCTTAGGATTCTACAGGTCCCAGCATTTCATGTTCTACGATCTCAACCTGTGAACTTAGCTACATATTTGCATATAAACATTTCTTAAAATGGTTTCATATCATTGGCTTCATTAGTACCTGTGTGGCTAGAGAAGAATTAAGATAGAGGAGGGTACAAGAGGCAGAGAAAAGAGTCCTTGTAGTCCAAGCATACTTTTGAGAGAAATTTAAGGAAAAGGGGAAGATATATGTTTTGAGCAGAATAAGACAAAAAGGAAAGTCACTGCAAATTTTAGTGGCTATTTTATGAATGGTTATTAGTGATTCAAGTTACTTAATCTACAATAATTCTTAAATGGCTAGTACAAGCCAACAGAAGCCAGTCGTTAGATTAAGGCTGAGAAAATTCCCAGATAGAGAGTTAGGAAGTGCCACAGGTATCATTTTCATGTTGGAGTGATGTTACAGGTGCTTTGAGCCAATCACAGGACAAAGGAGACATGCACCACAAAGGGTTAAATAGCAGTAAGGGACTAATATGCGCTGATCTGTACTGTTCAGTCATCTAATGAAGGCAGTCACAACCATAGAATACTGACCCAATACTGATCCAAGACTAGAGAAAAAACAACTGTTTTTTTTCCCAAAAGGACAAAATATATTCACATGGATGCTATGTATGCTATGTATAAAAACTACCCTCTACTAGAGATTGCCTACAGAAGTATTGATACAGTCTAGAAGGTTTCTATTGCACTTCAGATTCTTTAATGGGTGTTGAGTGCTTTGTGTTTAATCTACCAAATGGAAGATAATTTATGCTTATTTGTATAATAACTAAGAAACTATCAAATATTTATTATTGGGTGTAAGCAACGAAAATGGCAAGAAGAAACAACAGTGAATCTATTTTTTTTTAAAGAAAATGCAATTAAGTCTTTAGGGGGATAAGAATTTTCAGAACTATTATAAATAGAAGGGCCCATCTCAGCTTGATTACTTCAAAACAGCTTCCTGCAGCCTCCCACCAAGTAGATGAGCAATTAGAATAATCACAGCAATAAGTCAAAGGCACTTGCTGTTCAAACTTGTGTTGCGACTTTTCCTTTTGGCAGCGCTCCTGGGCGGTTCCAGTTGCACACATACAGACAAGCATGCACATATTTAATGCTGTGTTAGTTGGTAACAGGCAAAATGCCTAAGACTGACTTCGTGTTTTGTCTCAAGGTTAACTAGAGGGCACCGAACAAGTAAAGCTGTGCTGAAAAGAACAGTGGCCAAGAGAGGGATATTCTTATACCACACACAGTCATGCAGATGGAAGTCTGGCCAACAAAACCATAAAGCATCACGTCTCACTGTGAGTCAATCTGTCAGCTCAAGTACAAGGTGACTCAGGAAAAGACTCGTTCTGTTTTCTGGTAAATACTCACAATTTCTAGTATACGATGCTTGCTGGATATTGTTGAGAGTAAAGGTTAAAAACTATTTTGTGCATGGTATAAATGAAAAGAGGGATCCTTTAACAACTAATTTCTAGTTTTAAAGAAGTGAGATAAACCAAAAAAAAATCTTTAAAAAAATTATTTTCCCAATTGGTAGAGATTAAAAATATCTGGTTGATTCTGTATTTTTGTTTAAAATATATTTATGGTATTTCTACTGCAGATGCTAATGAGTTGGTTCAGTATGCTAGGAATCGATTTTAAGAAGTAATAGGACAATAACATATTCTTTGTAGGACCAATCATATGATTTTACTTTCTGCCTGATTTTTGAGCATTCTAAGGTTTGTCTTTGTTCTCCGGAATATTTTTAGATCCTCTAAGTTAGCAGAATTTTAAAAGCATGAGTAATAAAGAGGAGAACTTCAAATAATTTTGTTCAAACTTCCTTATAATGGTATGCATTTTTAATACCCAGCATTCTGTCTATCCTGTTCCTGTTTCCACAGCCTTGAGTTTGCACGTTCTGTGGATGTTCCCAAGTGCTTCCTTCCGTTTGTCTCAAGTTAAGGAAACTTAACCACTTTCTGGGCAGAACTTCAAATTCAATTTTTCATAAAGTTCTCGGAGAGGTCAGCAGACACACACAGCAAAACCACATAAAATAATTTCTAATTACCAAAGGGAAAATAATAGACTAAACTTACTTCTTTTATTTTTTTGTGATAGGAAGATATCTGGTTTTTCTATTTGAATGAAATATAGGAATATCTCAACACACACTGAAGCTGTGTCCTCAGGGTAAATCCTGAACACATCTGCTTAGTGAACAAGTGCTTGAAGAAGGAAGATCAGCTGTAACATGAATTCACATCAACATATAATATCAAAATGGAAATAAGAGTGAGGATGTAAGAATATTGTAATTGTAAATTGTGCTGAAAATGGATGATATTGAGAGAATCAAGAAATGTGAAGAATCATTAAAGCTAGAAATTTCAGAGTTGAAACTCATTGTTACATTAGAATATAAATCAACTAGTAAAGATAATTACAAATGTTGACTTCATTCATTGGTGCTGTGAAGGGGAGAAATACTATAAATACTAAAATATACAATTTGTCATTGATGCCATACCATAATGTTGCAGATGACTGGAAGGGTTCAGTTGAACATATAATCCATATAAATATATAAGTCTATTATTGCTTGACATATAAAGGTAAATACTTGAGAATCATTTGAAATTTGGTTGCTGTTTTCGGAATAATTCAATATTAAGTAATGCAGATGTGGTTAGCTGAGCTGCATAACCCTATGCAATTCACATATGATGTCCTCACCTTTAGTGCCTCAGAATTTGAAGATAGGTCCTTAAGAAGTAATAAACTCAGAGGATGGTTGTTGGTATGACCCCAATCCAATATGGTGGCTGTCCTGATAAGAAAAGGAAATTTAGATACAGACACACAAAAAGGGAAGGTCATGTGAAAAAAATAGGAAGAGCATGTCCAAGTAAAAAGCTAAAGAGAGAGAGGCCTCTGAAGAAGCCAACCATACTGATGTGGGACATCTGGTCCTCAGAACTGTGAGGAGATAAGTTTTCCTTGGTTAAACCACCTGCTCTGTAATAATTTGTTATGAAAATATCTGAAGACCTCATACTAGGACTTTTTATATAAACTCACTAGTAAGAAACAAAATGTATAGAACATGAAGAATGAGGATTCATTTGAAGACATGAAGAACTTCTTAGATTTCACCTGATGCATGTACCCATGTAATAAAAAAGCTTAAAGAGGGCTCACTTCCCTTCCAAACCCATTTCAAGGGTAAGCTAGTGATGAGCATGAATGGGCTATTGAGGAAATAAATACAAAACCATCACAGACCTTTGGATGAGAACATGGGTGGAAAGAGGCAGAGTATTTTGCAGTTGTACATATTATGTGATTGATTAGAGTTGTCTATGTTGGGTTAGATGTTGGCCTATTGTTAAAGGATATATATATTTTCTTCATATTCACAATGCCTTTTGGGTATGACCATTGTGCACATTTGCCATTAATACATCTTGGAACTAGAGTTAATCTCCACAGTCTTTATTTGATCAAATAAATAATAAATAATAAGCTGATATATAAATGAAAACAATGAGCAAATAAAATACATGTTGAATAGTATGTATCTTGGTACTATTTTGTGAGTAAAGAAGAGGGAGACTTCTTATAGTTACTAATAACTAGTAGATCAGTTCTTTCAACACAATGATAAATACAGATAAGATTATTATTTGACATCATGTCTACTTAAAGAGTTGATATTTGTATTTTTCAGGATTTAGGTCTCACAAAGTCTATTGATATTTACTGAGGAACAAAATATGATAGGTTTTTATTTACACAATACTCATCATTTTCTGGAGTCCCCTGGTAAGAGGACAGTAAGATATACATCTATTAATTCATTCATTTTATTACATTTTCAACAAGTATGGGCTTGATCTGTGTTGACCTTTTGAAATATAGCTCAAAGACATGCCATAAAGGCTTCAGCTCGGTCGCTGAAGAATAACTCTGAATTTACAAACAATCTCTTGTTCTGGAACCATGCAAGAGGACCATCATCAGATGGACAGAGACTGCTAAGCATCAGACACGGCTCTTGTCCTGGGGCCACTCTGTCAGCTTTGATGCTGACCAGTGCGGCTCCGTGGTTATTATACAGGCAGTGTTTGGGGTGGAGGAAGGAAACTTTGTAACTTGATTAAGTGTCAAGACATCAGTTCTGGTGGAATGCTCTGTTCAGTTCATAACTGTTCCTTTATAGGAGCATGACAATTATTGACTAATCAATATTCTAAGTACAAACCTCCAAATCTCCATAATGTTCAGTGCTATTTTTAACCCTGGCATTACAACAGGAGACCTATTATTCTTTTGAGTATTTTGAAATTAGAGAAGTTGAGATGACACATAAAGAAACTTAGAGAAGAAAGAGGATGTATAAAACAGCAGGGAGACAATTTCCATATATTCTATAGTGCATACTATTTTTTATTTTTTGATATGTCGGTCCTATTTTGAATACTGAACTAAATATGGTTGATACTTTATTAACATACATTTTTCTGTCCTAAGGTGAATAATCACAAATTAATCTGTTGCATTAATTTATCAGTATGTCCATTTTAACACAAATTTCGGATTACATTGTGTTTTTTTTTTTTTAATTATTCTTGTCTTCATTTTACAAATAGTTGGTACAAAGGCAGAAATTGGTAAGGTAATTTACTTTCAGTTTCTCAGAAATCAATGCTCTGTCAGCTTCAAGTTACAAATCATAGTGCATTCTGGAGCATATGTTGGACTTCCTTTTGATTAATAGAGAGGAGCCTGGGCTTCATGACCTCTCCATGAGGCTCCCAGCACTACAGTCCTGGGATCTTAATTCTGATGAATAACCTTCACACTAACTAGAACTAATTTATGCCCTCATTCTTCGGCGTAACATGAAAGACAAACGACATTCTCAGGCAAACATACTTTTCACACACATAGCTTTGTAAGGATGGAGATCCATTTCTGGTAAGCATTACTGTAGTCTTACTTATTTCCTAGTATGGGTTCATTTATAAAGTTGTTGGAAACCCTACAGAGATTTTCAATTTGGGGGAACAACAAAGTATAAAAATTCCTTGCAGCTTAATGAATTACAAGTTTGTACCCAAGAAGGTGGCATAGTTTCTTCTAAATATCCATTCCAGGTATCAGCTGACTGCACTCCCCAAATGAGTTGACGATATTCAGATTTTTTACCAAGACTAATTAATTCAGTTGAATATTTCCCAGTAGATCTCTGTGACTAAGGTGTGACTTAAAAAATTAATTAACAAAGTGATTTTGTATATTCTTCATTGTTAAATTAGTTATTTTAGTTCCAATCCTTTAATTCTTGGGACATAAGAAGAACAACAATGTTATGAGAGTATAATTGCTAAGGTGAGCAAACACTTTGCTTTTTTGTTACTGTTGCTGCTAATCTGTGAAGGAAGAGAAAGAGGATTTTCTCTTCCTGGAACCAATTGCATGGTCGCAATTACATGTACAATCTTCCTCCAAGTACTGAGGTTGTGTTTCTTTTTAAAATGTGTTTCTCATCTTAAAACCTTGTTAAAGGCTGTTATGAATGTGGAGAAGCTGGTTATGGTCTGGGATTTGGAAATAGTTTCTATCATTTTTACACATACCTTGTTTTCTCTTGCTCTTCAGACCAGAGTTTGAAATCAAGAGATCATCTTTACTTTATTAAAATTTAATGTATCAAGAAACTTTATCAATGTATACGTAATTAAACATTCTGAAATTTGTCAAGGCAACAAAAGGAAGTTATTTTAATAGAGTGGAAACAAACAAAAATGAAAACCAGGTCATATTTGTACGTCATAAAGAACTATAGTAGCAAAATGAATCTGTTACAGAGGGTAAACAATGCAAATCTGCGTGTAAGGGAATATCGTGGGATTCATTATTAGGCAATGCATTCTTTTTTTTTTTTTTTTTTTTTTTTTTTGAGACAGGGCTGGCCTCGAACTCACAGAGATCCACCTGCCTCTGCCTCCCGAGTGCTGGGATTAAAGGCGTGCGCCACCACTGCCCGGAGCAATGCATTTTCTACTCCTAATATTCTGTCCTCTGGATACACTGTCCATAGGTACAGAACTATGTGTCATATTTATTTCAGCTGAGCTAATGTCTACTTTCTTTAAGGAGAATTGAAAAAGAAACACACAATGGATTGGTCTAGGAGACCATTTAATCATGGGGAACTGCCTAAAGATACACTCTTTAGATTAAATCCTGCAGAAGTCAGGGCTAGTGCGTTGAATTATAATTCCACAGGCCCGAATTAAAAGACAATCAAAAAGAGAACTTGTTGATAAAATATGGATCTTATATGTGGTTTCATATATGTTCTATGTATTCTTAAAACATTTTCAAATGTATGTCTTCAAAGGTTGTGCTCGGATGTCTCCAGCATTTGATGACCCCTGGAAATACATGGGACCTTTACTTTGGATCTGTGATGCTCTGCATCTTTATGGGCAACAGACTGATACTAAAATTATTCTGTAACCAAGGGCAAATAATAGGGAATCCTATTTGCAATCAAAAGTTTGGGACAAAAATGCTTGACCCAAATAAGTAAGTCATGAATACTATCCTGATGATTTTAGAAATTAAAATGTATTTAAAGTTTCTGGGATCTAATATAGAATAGATACTGACAAATACGTAAAATGAAAAGTGTTGTAATGATATCTTATTCTCCACAAATATGTTCTCCAGCAATGAATGGAGACAAAACCCTGAGAGCTCATACATTGTTGCACCGGGGTCTTGATTCATGTCTACTGAGAATGGAGACATTATTTTCTCAAATTGGGTTATCAGTAACTTTCTTTATGTCTATCCTATGAATTTCAATATTTAAATGTCTTTGCTATCCAACAATAATAGGCATGTATGTACTTCGACATTAGAAAGGTTGACATTGAGAACTATGGGCTTGAAGCCAGCTTAGTCTACATAGTGAGCTCCAGGCAAGTTCAAACTACATGGAAAGACCCTGTCTCAAAAGATAAAGACAAAAAAGTTCTCTTCTTTAAAATTAAAAGAACCTGGTCTATATGAAATCATAGAGATATTGTATTTAATATATTTTTCTAATGTTTAAAGGCATTTATATTAATTACTTTCCTGTTGCTGTGCTAGATCACTCTGATGAAAAAAAAAACTTAAGGGTTAAATAGTTTATTTTGGCTTACAGTTCTGGAGAGGTAGAGTCCATCACAACTGGGAATGCATAGTAACAGGCCACAAAAAAATGGTGACAGGAAGCTGGTTGATCACATTTTCATCCCTCTCCTGGAAGGAGAGAAGGAGAACAAGCATTAGAGCCAGGGTACAAGACTTGGGATCTCTTCTCCCAGTGACATACTTCCTCTTGCAAGGCTTTACCTCCTGAGGCTCTACAACCTTCCCAAAGTGCCAGGAGCTGAAGAACAAGTGTACAATTTTAAATTCAAACAATAACAGTTTGATTACAACTTGGCTACATACGTCCATATGAGTATTTTGAAGCAGTATTTTGAAACAATCTGGCAGAAGTTCAACAGATAATATACATGTGGATATAAGTATTCTTTACACTACCATTGACCGAACTTTTAAACATTAGCCTGAAAGATATTAAAAAAAAAAAACCCTCTGGGAGACCATGAAGCTGGTACTTGAAAAGCATAGACTATGCTTATTTTTTTTTTATTAAACAAATAGCTTTTTCCCCCTTAAAATGGCCAGTACTGGAAATTAAGCAGTATATTAGTCACATTATGCTTAATGGGTAAGAGATAGGGCATGTATAATCTAAAGTTCCTAAAATAATCCAGGATTTACTTGAAACTTGTTATTTGTTAATGCTTGTTCTAGTTACATTTCTGTGGCCATGACAAAAATACCCAGACAAAAAAAAAGCAACTTAGGGGATAAAGGGTTTAATCTGCTTCCAATTCCAGGCAGCAATCCATCGTTGAGAAATCAAAGCAAGAACTTGAAGTATCATCCACATCAAGGACAAAGAAACAATAAACCAATGGATCTTTGCTTGCCTGCTTTGTTCTTGTGTTTCTCTCCTTTTATAACAGTCAAGGGCCCAGCCCAGAAAACAGTGCCACCAACATTTAGAAAAGGTCCTCTTACCTCAAATTACAATCAAGACAACCCCCTTCAGATACATCCACATCTCAACCTGATCCAGATAATCCTCCATCAAGACCCTCTTTGTAAATGATTCTATGTTGTGTCACATTGACAGTTAAAACCAACCAGTGTAGCATTTAATGTATTTTGAGTGATGCACTATCTCTATTTGTATTCTGAAAACACTTATTTTTATGTCACCTCCAGGGAATAAGTAAATCCCTCAGAGAAATGTCTAGATCTCTAGGATTAGAAATTGAAGAAATATTTTAAAAAGCCTCCAAAACCATTATGACTAATGCCCTTGAGTAGGAAGCCCTAAAATACTAGTTTTGAACTTTTAAAAATTGTTAAGGTTCAAGCACAGGTAAATCATATATAAACCTGTTAAATTGTGTGTATGTTATGCTTAATGCCTCCTAGGTCCTTGTCCTTCAAGTTCATAAAGTCTGTCTGGAAACCTTTTAAAAAAGTTTTAGCTTCTTCCTTATTCACAGTTTCACTATGCTGGGATTTTTGGTTCATTGATATTAGACAAAGATTTATAGGGGATAATTTTATATATCAAAGATGAGACCAGGAGATTTCTATAAACCGAAATAGTTATAAAAGTGGAGGGATAATGAAACTGAAAACCAAGGATATCTATTTCAGCGGAATTTGAACAATGGAAATGGGTGTTAGGTATTAAAATTATACTAAGTACAACCAGATGAATAAAGGCCTCTTAAACAGAGGCATTTGCTTTTGAAAACGCATGGACACATTGCTTCCCTGATAGAATCCTGGAGCTTGCCCAACTTCTGTACTGTAGGTGACATTTATAGATGTGAGTAATAGGGGAGATGCATTGCTGTGAGTTTGAGGTAGATTTGCATATTGATGTGCTAGTCTTTTGTCTGCTTTTCTACATTTCTGTGTGTGTGACTTTTCTTTATATATGTTAGCTCAAGGAGAATTAGAAATTATTGAGAAAATAAGAAAACAAATACTTTTTTTTTAATTGGGTCAGCATGATTTTGTTTTGTTTTCGAATTCCAGATAGACTCACGATGGACTCATCAGAAATATTTAGAGGTGGAGGAGAGCAATGTCATCATTGTCAGGCTGTGGAGCAACAATTTCTGCTGGCAACAGAGGAAAATGGGACAGTAGAGCCCATGCCTCCAACCATCGATTGCCCTTTAGGTGATTGCCATGTCACAGCAGGGCTGTGTGACTGCAATAGCTCTTCCTGGCTTTGAAGGAACTACTGAGCAGGAACTCTCTGGCTATTGTTTCTTGACCATCCTACAATATCGATTGCTTGCTGTGCCCCAAGCTCTTGTCAACTCTGAAAATCACTTGCTTTCCCCTTCTCATTGTGTGGCAATTTTGGTACCTATGTGAGTTTTAACATCCGAGACAAACACTTACCCGCAAGGGTTTGGAAAACTCTATGGCTCAACTGCATCACACAGGTTATACTAGGATGTACTCAGTGCTCTGTGGAGGACAAACAGGCAGCATATTGTGATTTTCAAAGCTCTTTTTTTTTTTTTTTGTTTTGTTTTTTTGAGATAGGGTTTCTCTGTGTAGCTTTGCGCCTTTCCTGGAGCTCACTTGGTAGCCCAGGCTGGCCTCGAACTCACAGAGATCCACCTGGCTCTGCCTCCCGAGTGCTGGGATTAAAGGCGTGCGCCACCAACGCCCGGCTTCAAAGCTCTATTTAAGATTCAGTTTTAAACTCATTTGAATTATATTAATGTACCACCAAAACAATAGCCTAACTTTTTGAATCCTAAGTCACACGATTTAAGTTTCTTGCAGAAAAATAATAGAGTTGGAAATTCAAAATTAGGCAAAACATTAGCTGTTCTTCTACACTGAGAAATTTTAATGACTTATGCATTAAAAAAATAGGAAATTACTAAAATGCAGAAAAACCAGAAAAGTTTATTTACATTTTTCATTAATTAATTTGATCACTTCTTTATATTAAATTAATCTATAACATTTCCTATAAGGAATTCAAATTTATGACAGCTTAGAATGTTTATTTCATATTCACAGTCATCATTGATAAGTTTACAAAGTTTAAAAAATTATGGTTGCATTTAGAAACTGCGTTCATATAAAGAAAATGTCTATGTAGTGCATTATAAATATGAACCTTGTAAAAATTTGTATTTTTGATATTTCTAATACAAATCTGTGTATGCTTCTTGAGAATGAATTTCTGATACAATGCATTGCATACAGTTTTATGATTGTGTGTATGGTGTATTTTTAATTAAAGTAGTAGTATATCACTTTCTCCTTTCCTTATCCTTTTTCCAGCCCTTCTTAGGTCTTTTTCCTCTAATCTCTCCCACATCCCCTCACCCTCAAGTTGATAGACTGTTTTTCTTTGATTATTATCATCTAATATATATACATATATATGCACAAATATATAAATAGAACCTGAGATGTCTACATTTTTTGTTTGTGTTTGTATGGTGTTAGGGCTGACTTTGTAGTGGATAACCAGTAAAGGGTCTTATCCCTGGGAGATTCTAATTCACCCTTTCCCAGTAGTTATTAGTTACTTGTAGTTCTTTTCTAGGAGTGGGACCCCCATGAAACTTCTCCCTTTTGCATTAACATATCTGTTGATATTACCACTGTGCTTGGCTTCTTTATGCAGCCATTTCTAAGAGAGACTCTTTAACAGCAGACTTCCTGGTATTCTGGCTCTTATAATCTTTAAGTTCCCTCTTCAAAGATGTTCTCTGAGTCATAGATGCAGGAAGTATGATATAGATGTATCCACTGGGTCTGGCCTCCCCATGATCCATTCATCTCTGTATTGTGTCCAGTTGTATTTTTCAATAAAAGTCTCCATTTGCTATTAAGAGAAGTTTTGGGGTTCTAGAGGATTTAGCTCAGTGGTAGAGGGCTTGCCTAGCTAGTGCAAGGCCCTGGGTTTGGTCCTCAGCTCCAAGAAAAAAAGAAGAGAGAGAGAGAAAAGTTTCTTTGATAGGGGGTGATAGTTACACTAATCTGTGTGTACAATGATAAAACTTAAAATATAGTAAGGGATTGTGCTGGTTTAACAAAGTGTTGGTAGTAGATTTGTTTCCAAGGTCCATGATCTCAATAGACCTGAAAACTTAGTTAGGTTTCCAGTACCCAGGGTGATTTCCCTTCCGTTAAGTGGGCATTAACTCCATTAAATAGCTGTTGGTTGCCACGAACATGGGAGTGCCACTTGTTACACCTTTAGTGATACCTTGCTCTGCTGGTCATTGTTGTGGTTCATAGGTGTTGGTGCTGGGTAGAACTATTCATTGCTTTCCTCCCTTGGTAGCTTGCATAGTATTTTCTGATACCATGGAAGCTCTATTGCAGGAAAAAAGGCTTTCAGAAGAAAAAAATGTGTGGTGAGTTTGTAGCTTATATACCATATTTTCAAAACCCTTTGCTGATCATATATATATATATATATATATGTATATATATATATGTATATATATATATATATACACAACAACTTAATACTTTGCTTTGAGTTTTGTACAACTAATTTTGGAAGAATTTTCTTTAGACTTACTCTTGTACTGTACATTTTGGCATTCTCTTTTCTTCTAATCCTCTCTTCTTTTGGGTGCCAGATATCACAGGACCTGTTTCTCTTACCATGGGATCTCTGGCTTTACAACACTGGTGTCATAGTGCCAAGAATGTCGGTGTAATGCGAAGCTGAAGTATTCCTGGATCCCTAGACTGCAGAGAGGAGAAAGCAACAGCATCATCTGTTAAAGGGACTGCCAACCACATCAATATATTCTGCTGAAATCAAGCTCATATCACTTTCCTACTGTGTAAAATTTTCTACACTGTAGCGGCTTCCAACAGCAAACTTTTTATTGCTTTCAGTTGTTTGGTTAGATATTTAAAGGTTTATGTTGATGGCAATGGCCTACTTCTATTTTGTGTGTTCATTTGGTATGGTTTGACTGGGCTCAAAGGGCAGAGATGGTCTCCTTGTTATTATCTGGGGTATTGTTGTCATACTGAGACACTTTATATATCTTCAATATGCCTCTTTTCTCTATAAGGTAGCCCATTCACTGTAACCTTTCTTATTCTGACCTCTTTATATGGGAGCTGGATTACAAGAACCAGTACAGATAGATGGCTGGAAATTTACATTTGCAATAGTCTTCTGATGAAAGCAAGTCATAAAACCAGTCCAGTTCAAAAGATGGATAATAGCCTCAACTTCCTGATGGGAGGAGCTGTAGATAGATTTCAAAGAAACATGGCCAAAGGGAGGAATGACTTATGGTCCGTGTTTAACAGTCTAGAACAATATCCTGCTCAGCTTCCTCTTAGCTTGATCCAGCCGTGTCTACAATTACTGCGATGCCAGCTGACATCAGAGGTGTTATAACCAGAGTAAAGCAGCCTTAACAGTGACACATAACACACATCTGTATTTGAAATGATATGCTTAAAATGATCATGCAGCTTTATTTTAGACTTGGTTAAGAACTTAGGAAAGATCTTATGTAAGAGTACTTGAGGCTTAAGTCTCATGAGCATATATGTTCACGTGTATCTAGGTACTAATATCCCAACATCTTAGTCACTCCAGGATTCAATGGTCCTCTTTGTCTCTTACCTAACCCATACCAACTTGGTATTTAGGACTGTTGATTCAACCTCTAAGAATATATTGGAAGTTCATCAATTTGTCGAGCACTAACATGTTAATCTAAGATACCAGCCTCTCTTGTTTGGGCTGTTACAACATAATCCTTTCTGATTGCCCTAATATGCTTTTTCCCTCTTAACATTTACAGAGTAGTCATATGTGTGCCAGCCCTGCTGTGTCCAGAAGGCATTGATTACTTGAGGTCTTCCAGTTCCTCTGGCTCTTACACTCTTTCTGCTCCCTCTCCTATAGAACCATAGAGTTCCTTAAGCCCTGAAGGGAGGGATTTGATGGAAATGTTCTATTTAGGGCTGAGTGTTACAAAGACTCTACTGCCTGCATATTGTCTGGCTATGGGTCTCGGTATTTGTTTGACTATGGGAACTTTTGAACTTGTACTGAATATATTTTCATTTATAATATGGCCTTGAGAATGTGAGAGAAAGAGGGAGAAAGTTATGCCTTAAAAGTGATGTATTGAGTGTCAAGTTGACACCCAATATATATATATATATATTAAAATGGAGGGGTTTTTTTTTTTGTGTGTGTGTGTGTGGGGGGGGAGGTGAATGCTGGAAGATCAGAGAAGCAGAACAAGCCACAGCCACCTCACCTCGCCATTTCCTCAGCTGATCCTGTTTCCTCAGACTGGAAACCTCTCAGTCCTCATCCAGAATGAATCTCAGCTGAACTGTGCTGCTCAAAGCCTGAAAGCTTAACCAGACTAAAAGCTTCTAGTTTCTGGTCTTCACGCCTTATATATCTTTCTGCTTTCTGCCATCACTCTCTGGGATTAAAGGCTCACTTCCTGGGATTAAAAGCGTTGAGTTACCATGCCTGGCTGTTTCCAGTGTGGCCTTAAACTCACAGAGATCCAGAAGGATTTCTGCCTCTGGAATGCTAGGATTAAAGGTGTAATTGCCACCATTTTCTAGCCTTTATATCTAGTGGCTGTTCTGTTCTCTGACCCCAGATAAATTTATTAGGGTGCACAATATTTTGGGGAAAACAATACCACCACATTTTCCCCCTGTTTTGTCTAAAATTAAAAAAGCTTATAACTAATAAAAAAAACTATCCAATAAGTATATACAATATATACAGTCAAGAATTACATTAACAATGTCTAGTCTTAAAATGGAATTTTTATCTTGATTCTAGAGAGCTACTTAGGCTACACATATTTATATTTCAGAGTAAAAGTCCTAATAATGGAGCCCTAAGTATCCACTGTATGAAGCTATGATGATAATATCTGAGTTGAATTAGAGTGTCCAGGATGATGGAGATCCCAGGACCATGAAACATCTGCAGGAAGGCTTCAGATATGTAATGAAGGCCATTATAGTCAAAGAAAAGGCCAAATCGAAGTCATTGGAATAACCTCTACCTGGGAAAGCCATAAATCCAAAACAGTATCACATTCTTGGAAGAACTGCAGAAATGAGTGCCAACATCAAGGATTAGAATGGTCCAGAGGTGGTGGGTCACTCCCTCTAGACCTTGTTTTTACTCTTCTATTTTGTCTGTGCAGAGGACAGATGGATCATGGAAAATGATGGTTGCCTATAGTAAACTTAATCAAGTAGTGACTCCAATTGCAGCTGCTCTGTCAGATGTTGTTTCCTTACTTGCACAGATTAACACATTTCCTGGTATACAGTATGCAGATACTGATCTAGCAAATAACCTTTTCCTTGATACCAGCCCATAAGAACCACCAGAAATAATTTGCTTTCAGCTGAGAACATCATCAGTATACTTTACTGTTTAAGGATATATTAATCCTCCATTCTTGTGATATAATTTAGTTTGAAGTGCTCTTGATCACCTGTCTATTAAATAAAATATCACACTGGACCTCTATATTGATGACATTATGCTGATTGAGTCAAGTCATCAGGAGGTAGTAAAAACTATGTGTTTGTAAAGTTAAATGGCTCATTTGTCAGAAAATACTATGATAATATGTATTGTTAACTTAACAGGATACGGAATCATATGAGACAAATGTCAAGGTCCACCTCTGATGGACTATTTAGATTACACTAGCCTCTGAATGTACTTGTGAGGGATTATCTTGATTAGTTAATTAAGATGGGAATATCTATCCTAAAGGAGGGCAGTGCCTGGGTCCTGGAAGGCACAGAAAGGAGGAAGCTATGTGAGAATGAGTAGTCATTGTTTTCTGCTTCCTGAATGGAGATACATTGTGACCAGCTGCTTCCAGCTTCTGCCACCAGGTCTTGCTTGCCATGATAGACCATACCCTAGAACAATGAACCCAAATGAAACCTTAAGATGCTTTTGATCTTTTGATCTATCTATCTATCTACCTGTCTATCTGTCTGTCTATCTATCATCTGTCTATCTATCTATCTATCTATCTATCTATCTATCTATCTATCTATCTATCTATCATCATCATTATATATTTTTCACGAAAGTATGAACTTAATGCATATTGTTTTATTATAGAAACACTGCATGGCCACAAGGAAATTATCTTTATTTCTGAATGTGCTTTGTTTTTTACTAACAAATTATTTATAATGAAATAGTCATAGGCACTTGAGGTTGGCATACTAGTTTTGCAGTCTTTGTTGGTAGATAATTTGCATGAATTTTACACCAAGTCCATCATCTTTCTAGAAGGGAAACTTATGAGACCATTTGAAACTAATGTAGGAGTCTGCTCTGTTTTCTCAGAATGCTTCTTCTCAGAAAGGTCAATGGGTAAGTTTGATGCATTCATAGAAAATGAATTACAATCTTTTAAAAGTCAGCATTTCTTTGTTATCACTTGCATAATGCACAGCACTTGTCTGTGTGTGCTCAGTGTCAATGTCAATAGACCTGAGGTGGGAACTGCTTCGGCTTGAGTTTACCTCAAGTTTCACATGGAAACTTCATCTCAGTGTAGCAGTGTTGGGAGGTGGGGTCACACTAGGAGTGTTTAGGTAATAAGAGATCTGATTTCTCAAATGGGTTAGTATTGTTGTAAGAAAGAGGGTGTTATCACAGGAGTGGGTTTGTGGGTAGAAATGAGTTTCAGCACTTGCTCTATCTCATGCCATTCTGCCTTACAACAGACAATGAAGCAAAATGCAGACCTTTACCATAGTCTAGTGTCATGATAGTGATATTGCCATTTCTAGCTGTAAGGTCCACCATCAAGGAAACTGTTATTGTTCACAAATCACTCAGTTTGTGGTATTTTGCTATAGCAACACAAAGCCGACTAAAATAGGCAAGGTGTGGTTTGAGTGTGATACTGTTTCAAGTTGTTTTTGCAGAAATAAAAGTCTATTTAGAAACAGAGTTGATAAGAATATGTTAGGAGACAGGAGATAAGTGGGAATAAAGAAAACTATCAAGTCATAAGCACTTTTTTTCCTGGTGCTATTGACTGTACTCAGTGTCAGTTTCCTCCCTCTAGGATGGGGCAGTGACGTTCCTCAGCTATTCTTAGGAGTTAAGAGGAGATGGAAAAAAGCAAGCCGAGTCAGGAGAAAGACACATGAGTGGCTGAGCTTTGAAAAAGTTATAATGATCAAATAAGGAGTAGGTTTAATACAGTGAGGAGCTACTGGCAGCTTACAAAAATTTTATGAAAATTTCTGACCACACATCACTCCTACCCTCTAGACCTACTCATGTTATGAGATCTCCAGAGATCTGACAGCTATGACAATTCACTTCCTAGTCATCATTGGAGAGTAGATTATTCCTGAATGAGCCTTAGAAAGTGAGTAGTCAAAGTATTTACCAGGTAAACAGTGCACACTAGGCAAGGGCACACCCACACCCACCCACCCACACACCCATGGACACAAACACCATGCATACACACCACACGGGCATACACACACCACACACACACACACACACACACACACACTATGCACACAATGTACATGCATGCACACACCCCCCCACACACACACATACACACACACACACACACACACACACACACACACACACACACAATATAACAGGTAATTGTCTCTGCTGATACATACACTAACACACGCCCTGATCTTTTATGAATATTGTCTGATGATTGTAGAGGAAATACATAATTTTTTTCTTCTTTGTATTTCTTAAGCCAAAGGCAGGGCTCCTACTTTCATTAAAGATTTATTAAATTCAAAACTAAGGAAATTGAATGTAAGGAAAATAACAGCTAGCATTCTCTTTAGGCCTTCCACATTAAAATAGCATTAGAAAGGATGAAAACAAAGCAAATTTAATTTGTTTCCCTGATTTCTCACTCCTTTATTCCACTTTTCTGTCTTCTTTTTATTCCCACTAGAACAAGATCGGGTTTTCTCTTACCTCTCAAATTCCCTCACTTTTGTTGGTTTAAGTGATACCCACAGGGGACATTTTTTCAAAGTGGTATGCCAGGATTTAGCTGTGGGAGGCCCATTAATACACCACATAGAATTTTACTCCCCATAATGACATTTAAAGAGAGCTATTTGTTTTGACTGTGTTCTTTGTGTATGCCTGAAGGTTACCATAGTAAAATCCCCTTGGCAAATTGTAGTCAGAAGTTTTTGGGTTAAAATGGCAGTGAGTAAGGGAGAGGTCAATTCCAAAATAAGTGAAATCCTGGTAAAAGAGAGGGTCTCTGGGGTCCGTTTTGCTCTGATTTTGGTTTCCTTCTCTGGGAACTGGGAACAAATAACTCCTGTTCTCAACTCCTCTCAAAAGCATCAAGATTCTCACCTTTCTGATTCCTGCTACAATATCTACATTAACATATTATTTGGTCATTTTTCTGTCCATGAATTATTTGGTTTCTTGGTTGTGCTTACAAATGACCATGAGATTTTAAGGCTTAACCAGTAGCTACCTACCATGCATGGAATTTGAAGTTGGATGGTTCTGTGTTCAGATTCTTAAGTTGCTACTTCTGATTGACTGTGTGAACTTGGGCAAGTTGCTGGGCCCTTCTTTCTCTCATCTTTTAAAATAGAACAGTCTACATTCTAGGAGGGGGGATGGTCATAAAAATTACTTGAGATAAAGAGAAGCTTTCTAAAATAATTCCTGGCCCACGGTAAGCACAGAAAAATGTTAGCTTCCCATATGTTTTTAAATTTGTACTCAGTTTGGATAAAATAACCAAAGAAGATGCATGTTCTCTTTTATTACAAGACATATTTCACAAAGTTCTTCAAAGACAAGAAAATAATAATGGTGATGGTTTGCTGTAGATACGCAGTTAAGCGGGTTTCATTTGGCCCTGCCGGAGCTGCTGTGTCTGAAGTCGATCAAGTACATCGGAATAATGTAACATCCTCTTCTATTGTGGCTGAATGTTCGCATTATGTCTCCATGATTCATGCATTGG